TTTCTTCTTGGTGCTGGGATTTCTGTTATCTGGATTTGATACTCTTCAATATCTGGCAGCCTTTGTTGTTCACGGGATGTCCTTCATGCACAAAGCACAAACTGCAGGTTCTTGTTTTGATTTTGTGCACTCACCAGTATTGTGTTGCCCACCGCATTTTACAAAACATGGCAAATAATGACAATACATCTTCATGTAGCCATACGGCTGGCAATTTAGTGGCACTGAACGATATTCCTCCTAAGATATGGCTTCTCCACTTTTAATCTTGTGTAATATAATCCGGTTATTCCGTAAATTTGGAGTCAGCTCCAAGTCTATAAAAAATAGAGGTAGAGAAACTTTTACTCCTGGCTGTTCCTTACTCTCCTTTAGAACATTTGTTACCTGGCGCACTTTGAAACCTAAAGTTTTCCGGTCTTCTTCTATTGTTTCATTTGGTATTAAGGGGTTTAAGTTTCTTATAACCACTCTTAAAGCCCACTCCTGTTGCAATTGATACGTGTGAAAATCTGCTTTAGTCTCTGTTAAATATTTCACAATTTTTTTATAGGTCTCAGCTGTTTCTGATGATATTTTGGTGTCATTTCTTCTGATTTGACATCGGTAGCTTCCTGGAGCCTGCTATTTTGTTTAGTTGAGAACATAGTAACTGAGAATTTTATGTTCTTAACGAATATCGGTGGAGGTCTGAGATCACTTGGTATCAGTGCGGACTCCATTACCTCTCTGTCATTCTGAAGCACCTGATAGAGGTTGTGTGTAAAAAAGGGAGATTCTTCAATTGTCTCTTGTGATGATGTACCTAATTGAGGCTGAGGTTTTTTAATGTCCTGTTTTGGTGGTGTACCTGGCTGGATTACATGTTCTTTGGAGCTAACTGGTGTCATTGGAGGTGTTTGACAACATTTACTAGGCTTTTGTTTGACAGGAGAAGATCAAGGTGTCGAGCTTAACGACCTAGTTCTCTTATTAGCCACTCTGCTAGTGAAGACAATGGTAATAATAATAAAAATAATCTAAATTTTGAAAGTTGTACACAGTAAATATCAGCTTTCTGGTATATCCTTGACCTTTTTAAGTGAATAATAACAGCGATTGTTCTGAAAAAACAGTAAATAATGAGAGCTGAGTTGGAAACACAACCTTGCGCGTCAGATGATTGATCAGCTCGCTTGCATTTTATTTGTGCACTCATGTGGCAGTGCTAAAGGAAGAAGCAGGCAAGTGAAATAATTGCTGCTACAAGTGTAATAATAAAAATTGTATTTATGCAATCATGTTTATTATGATACCTCCCAGGTCATTGAAAAAAAAGAAATTAAAGCTTTGCAATAATTTATTGTAATCATTTTTGCTGAAAAAATGGATACTTCATGGTGACAGAATATCAAATACATTATTTTTTTACTGAACTTGTTGATGTGAATCTCAACTTATTTCCTGATAAATCCTGAACTTAATTAATATGCAAAGCTTATTAAACAAGGAAGTTTTTCTAAAAGTGGAGTATCTATAGTATGGTTGGATGATAAAAAAATTCTTATAAATAATTCATGATTTATTAGAAATAGAATTTGGCTTAATTTAGCTGCTCAAAAGTCCTCTTTAAATGATTTTACAAATGACAAACTTTGATTTGAAGCAAATTTTGTCTAGTTTACTGCTTAGCCATTGTTGATTAAGTATTTTTTTAAATTATTGCTTCCTATTCATCAAAAAACGTGACTTACTTAAAAAAAAACATGAAGTAGAATTTCCTACTTTTCTGCAGAAAATTATACCATGGTTAATATGTAGTTCTTGAGGTATAACGCCTATTTAAATATTTCCCTTTACTTAAAGGAAACTTTGTACAATGTAGATCTCCAGGAATATTTATTTATTTTAAATTGTTGGTAAAGTAGCCTAACCTAACCTATCAACAATCATATGCTCTCTGCTATCTTCACCATTCCGTGTGTACAGTATGATCATGGGATCTTGGCCCACTTTCTTCCAGACATAATTCTGTTGTAGTGTTGTCCAATTTTTGCTGTCGAAGGTGAGTGTCTGTATATGCAAAATAATTTATTAGTCAATTTTTGGTAATTAATGTAGATATAAGATTTTTTTATCATAATGGTTTATTTTCTTGGGCTAATTGGATCTATTGATTGTTTTAGAGTGGCCACTAAGGCTTAGGCCAAACCCAGTGAGTGCAATTTAGTCACCAAGAGGAAGGCTCTGAAAATGTTGGTACTTACTTATTTACTTACTACGGTCCTCCTCAAGGACTCCAAGCCAGTCATTCCTGTCTCTCGCTTGCATCCTCCATCTTCTTACTCCGAGCAACTTGAGGTCCTCTTTAATGTCACCCAACCATCACATTCTTAGTCTTCCTCTGTATCGCTTCCCTCCAATTTTTCCATATAGCAGGCGTCTTGGAATTCTATTTTCAGGCATCCTTTCCACATGTCCAAGCCATCTCAGGCGGTCTTTTTTCACAAATGTGCCAGGTCTGGTTTGCCATATATTGCATGGAGCTCGTAATTGTTTCTTAACCGCCACGTGCCATTTTCTCTTATTGTCCCATATATCCTCCGGAGTATTTTTCTTTTCCAGACATTGAGTTTCCTTCTAGTTTCACTGGTCAATACCCAGGATTCACTGCCAGACATAACTATGGGTCTCAGTATGGTTTCATAAATCATGAGTTTTGCTTTTTCGGAAAGAGCTTTAAACTTAAATGTTCTTTGTATGGCATAAAGGCACTTGTTACTTCTAGCCAGCCTGGCATTCACTTCTTCTTTCATACTGTTATCATGTGTAATGACTGCACCCAGGTACTTAAACGTGCTTTTACTTTTAAAACTCTGATTCCAATGCCAATCTGCAGATCATGGTATTCCAGTTGTTGGAGACTGCAAGTTTTTAAACATTTTGTTTTTCCTTCATTTACATGAAGGCCACTTCTGCTGCTTCCCTTTCAAACTCCTCAAAAGCTCCTAGCGCTAGAATGTTTCTTGCCATTATGAGCACATCATCTACATATGCCAAGTGCTGTGTGAGCCGATCATAAATTGTTCCATTAGGGTTGGTTCGTATTACCCTAATAGCTTTTTCCAAGGCTAAATTGAAAAGGACAGGTGATAATGGGTCTCTCTGCCTCAGGCCACTATTTGTTGCAAATTTTTCTGATAGCATTCCCTGTATTTTTATCTTCATCCTGCCATCATGCATTGTCAGTTTTGCCAACCTAGTGAGCTTCCTGGGAATTTCCAATTCAAGTATTATCTTCAGTAATTCTTCTCTATCAATACTGTTGTATTCCTACTTAAAATTGATAAATAAATTATGGAGTTTAACGTGAAGTTCATATCCCCTTTCAAGACTTTGTCTTAATGAGAATATTTGATTGATGGTTGATCTTCCAGGCCTGAAACCACACTGATAGCTGCCCACTATCTGTTTGGAAAACTTTATCTGCCGTCATTTCAATAATACAGAGAATAACTTGTAGGCTGTATTCAGTAGTACTATCCCTTGATAATTACCACTAGATAGTTTTTCCTTTTTTTTACGAATGGGGCATATCGCTGTTATTTTCCACTCTTCAGGCATTTTCTCTTTAAACCAAACATCCCTCACCAATTGGAATATACATCTTTTTAAATGTTGGTAACTTAGGGCAAAACAATGTGTTCATATCAATTTATGAAATTTAAAATAAGTTTAATTAGTAATTAATTTAATAAAAACAACAACTGAACATTAGGAACAAAAGATTATAAAAAATAATAAAAACATTCATCATGACACTTCCTACTCAATAGCTGACTATATTTAAGGGATAGGTGATTATATTTATGCAAAGCTCAAGTCAATCTCAAACAGCAATTATGAACCTCTTCTATCTATATTAGTATAAATTTGTAAGCCACATCAGTTTGCTTTTTGATTTTGTGGTTATCCTAATAATTTATTTTGATAAATCATGTACTACTGGTACTTAACAACCTCAGATTCCAGTAAAATATTTGTATACATACTATAAAAGTATATTTGAGGAAGTGGGGTAGCTCAGTGATATGGCGCTGACTTCTAATGCTTGAGATCACAGGTTCAAGTCTGACTGATGGCAGATAAATCATTTAATCAGTTTCATCAGCTGTGGATTGATTCTGGTGTCAGGAGACCCTCTTGGGGCACACTCATCCTCTATAAATTTGGTTTCCTTAATTAAGGGGGAAAAAACCTGGCAATTGAGCATGATCTCTCGTTGAAATGATTCTCGTTCAAATCACTTCCTTACACAACTGTTGGCCAAAAAACAGAACTTCCCTACATAGCACTGAACCCAAGACCGTTCATGGATTATTGTGTTACAGTTTTTTTTATTAAAGTATATTTAATTATTTCAGAAGTATATTATTGAAAAAATATTTTTTATGTACTGAAATATTTCCAATTATATGTTATTATGTAGTGCCTTTGTATACCTTACTTATGAATAATTTCTAACAGATGCTGTAAGTATATCTTAGTGTGTGTATCTAAATATTTTACATTTCTCTTATTTGATTATCCCAATTTATAGATTCTTGGTATAAAATTGTATTTATATCTCCAGACAAATTTATGGAACCGTAATCTAAACTAACCTGTCATAAGAAAGATGCTCATCTATATGTTTTTATACACATAAAGAAACAGAAAGTGCAATTATGGCTTTCGTTACTTTACATACTACGTTATAATTCATAAATAATTAATTTGTTTTCCAGCTAGAAAATGAAGTACCTACCTAGTTATTTCCAAGCTATAAATTTGATTAAAGCTATTCAGTATTTTATAATAATAGGTTCACAAGAGTACACATTTTTAGATTAACAAGAAATAAAAGTTCTGTGATTTCAATAATTTAGGTTCCTTTTCTACTCATTTTTATTATTATAGCCAACAGAATGTATTGCTATTTGTGAAATAACATAATTTTATTTATTATTACTATGTTTTAGATGTTTATCATTGGGATTGCTTGGATCAATATATCCGAGAACTGCCAGACACAACAGCACCAGCAGGATACAAATGTTTGCAATGTCACGATACCCTTTTGCCAAATCCTATGCTTGTTTCCCCTGTAGCAGATGCTCTAAGAGAAAAATTATCAACTGTTAACTGGGGAAGGATAGGCCTTGGGCTGCCATTAGTAAGCTCAAACTTTATTTCAAACATACTTTATTGTTATTCTGTTCATGAATATTCTCCCTTTTTGGTCAATGTACAGAGGAGTTTTTATGATGTGCACAAAGCTTCGTTATTGAAAAATCCATACGGTAACAAATTACCCTGCTGATGGCAAGGTAGCAAACCAAATTATTACCTCAATGTGGATTTATGTCAAATGGGTAACATAATGGATGTAAGGTACTATAGAGGAGCGAACATTGACTCTGATTATTTCTTATTTATGGGCTAATTGTGTCAGAGATTTAAAGTCATTAAATCCAAAAAAAAAAAACAGTGTGCAACTCTTTGATTGTTATTGACAAAAAAAAAAAAAAAATCTCAATTAGGTGTAATCAATATGGTTTCCTTTAAAATAAATATTTTAGAAAAGAAACATTAAAAGTAGCAGAAAGTATCCTAGGTGTCTAAGACAGAACTAATAAAACTTGGTTTGATAATAATTACAAGAAGCCAATCTAAATAATAAAAACACTAAGCGAAAGGCATTATTGTTAAAGCAGAACCTTTTAAACAGGCACATATAGTAGTGAGATCAGGATGTCTGGGCAAATGCAGTGTTACCAGGTGGACAGAGATCTTAAATCCTTTTAAGGAGAGTAAAAGAAAGATGCAAATCACAGATCACCCAGATCAGATATAAGGAAGTGAGGAAAAATGTGGCCATGCAGAGGTATTTAAAGAATGAAAATTGTATTTCCATAATTACTTAAATAGAGTGGAACTATTTGAACAAGTGATAAAACAAACATTCTTACAGCAAAACAATGAAAAAAAAATCTAATAAGGCACCAGGTACAAATAGGCTACCAGCTATACTAATCAAGGAGGATGGAGAAATCACATGATTAAAGCTTCGTTCCAAGTTGATTTAGCAATAGGGAGATATATAATCTGTGGGACAGACCTTCCTATCATCTGTTGTGTTCCTTGCACTGTAGTAATACAAAAAAGCCAATGTTCAGATGAAATTGAGTTGGTTTTTTGGTCACTGACATTCAGTATTTGGCTAAATTCTTCCACATAGCCAATGAATGATTACAGAGGGAAATGTAAAGAACACAATTTTTTACTTTTAGACTTTTTTGGCTTATTTAAGTGGTAAACATACAAAAGAACCCACTCTTAGGTACTTAACAAGAGGTGGGGGGCACTCAGTTCACTTTTTTGATTTTACTTATATCAGGGAAGCAATAAAAAATAAATTTTTTTTCCCTCAGATTTTTATGTTTGTTTGATGAGTCAACTCTTTATCTCTCCATTTTACAAAAAAAAGTCATACATATGAAAGTTTTGGAGATTAAATATCCTTCAAGAATGTATATTATTTTTCGAGTTTATCTTTAACGCTTTAGAAGTTAGTCATTATAACTTTACTTGTGAATTCTAGGATTTTGCAGAAAATTTAAACTTTTTTATTTTTCATTATTTTAATTCTTTTTATAAGTCAATATTTACATAAATGTACATAAATTGTATTTACAATGGTAATACTAGTATTAGTAATGAAATTAGTTTTTGTAGCTCTCTACGCTAAGTTATAAGCACAGGGTGATTCCAAATTGAACAACAATTTGTACATAACATTTATTATAAATGTCTCATAAATGTTTTGTTAAAATATTTTAAAATTAATTTAATAAAATGTATACATCTAATATTACAATTATACAGTAATAGTGGTAGATATTTGGCTTTATTGGGGTGGAAGGGTCCTCCGTACCATCTCAAAATAAACTTTTTCCCAGTTTCCTCAATATCATACTTGGTTGAGAAAGGGGCTGAGAAAAGTCCAGCAGATTTATAAATCACAGCTTCCTCTTTAGGAAGGCAGCTGAAGTGGTACGCACCCTGTGAAGAAATGTGAGAATAGTATGGATGGTTTGCAGCGCTGAATTCAAAATGAGAAAAAATATGAAAATAACTCTGATCTACACTGCCAGACAAAATTAAAGGATCACTTCAATACTTTAATTTTACTGAATTTTAATGGACATTTGTAAAAGGATTCTTTTTGAATCTGACAGAATTGTTTATTTAAAGAGCAAATAAGTCAAGAATGAAAGAAAAATATGATTTTGTTTTTGGAAGTTATGTTTAAAAAAAATAAAGAAAAGGAAAATACAGGTTATTGAATAAAATCATTAGGAAATGTTTTCCCCTCTAGCCCTGATCATTGCCATGCTGGCAGAATGCTTCTCCTGTTTATTCCACTGACCATGTTCTTTACATCTTCTTCCGGTATGTTGTTCTCTTCCACTATAATTCTTCTTAAGTCATCCAAATTTTGAGGGTCACGATTGCAGGGATGTCTCCCAAGCATGTTCCATGCTTGTTCTATTGGTTTCATATCTGGACCTATGGGTGGCTATGTTCGGGCATTGCCATGCATTAAAATGAATTTGTCCCCTATATTTCTAGCAAAAGCTATCACATGTAGTTCTAGAATCTCCGTTTTGTATCTCAAAGCAGTTAAGTAGCCCACAAAAACCAACTCCGTAGTGGAGTTTAAATTTATGCCTCTCCAAACCATCACTGAGTCTCCTCCAGAAGCAACTCTTGGAGAAACATTACCTCTCTCCTCACCTCCTTCACACTATTTTGCATCCATCTGGAGACCTTGGGCTGAATAGGAACTGGTTGGTGAATAATACATGGCTCCAGTGTGTGTAGATGTTCCTGGACAACCTCAAGCATTGAACTCGGTGCTTCCTGGCAAGCAGAGGTCCAATTAAGATTTAAGAGTCGCAAACCATGGAACCAGTGCTATCTTCTGTTGAACTGCACGATGGTCCTTACCCCTTGCTGAGTATGTCAGAATAACTATTTTTTGGTTGATGTATGTGTTTTCGCTGTATATTATGGCGTTAAGAATGGCATTTAGTTGGCGCTAAAAATACTGAAATCAACTGGTATTGATAATTAAAATGTCTGTTTTTTGGGGGGGATCATATACAGCTACAGACGTTTGGTTACTTGTTTTTGATGCGTCTGTATAAACTTGTAGATAATTATGGTAACGTTCCGTGATTGTGTTCAGTGCTAATTGTTTCAAATAAATTGATGGGTATGAACTTTTATTCTCTAATTACCCGCTAGATTCTGTGAATCTTAATCTGTGAATATTAATTAAAGATTTGGGAATGGGTGTTGTGTATTCCAGAGGAGCTTCCTAAATGTGTATTGATTTCATAAGAGGCTGTAATTCGTTAATAATGATGGATAGTTGGGGACAGAACACGTTTCCACTTCTAATTTCTTTACCTACAGGATGATTATTGTCAGAATACACTTTGAGAATGTATTTTTTCACTATCCATGCCCTTCTGATGTGTAATGGCATCTCTCCGGCTGAGGCCTGAAGCGGGTTTACTGAAGAAGTTTTAAAAGCACCCAAACATAACCTTATGGCAAAGTTTTGTGTTGTAATCAACTTATTAATGAGGAAGGATTTAGTTTGATTGTATATGACACAGCAATAATCAAAATTAGATCTTTCTATTGTTTGGTAGAGAGTGAGCATGTGTTGTGGGTGAGAACACCACGATACTCCAGCTAAAGATTTTAATATGTTCACCAACAAGATCAAGATCACCAACAAAATCCTAAAATCCCATCATATTTCCCATCCCCTCCGTCGAAGCGATGGCTCCTGGGCAGCGCCTGATGAAGATAAAGCTGAGGAATTCGCCAGACACCTCTCCAGAACATTTACCTCTCATCCGGAATCCAACCTCACCCATACCACAACAGTAGAAGAATTCCTTACATCACCCATTCCACTTTCCTTGCCACCTAAAGCAGTTAATCCTTCTGAGGTCACACATCACTTACAAAAACTTCCTCTCCATAAATCTCCTGGATACGACCTCCTTACCTCTCAAATCCTTCGACAACTTCCTCCTAAAGCTGTTATATTTCTCACCTACTTATATAATGCCATCCTAAGAACCACCCACTTTCCTCTCTTGTGGAAACATTCCACTATTATCCTGTTTCCGAAACCAGGCAAACCTCCCAACACCTCAACGTCTTACAGACCAATTAGCCTACTTCCGATTCTCTCAAAAATCTTTGAAGAGATCCTCCTGAAACGAATCCTACCCTTTATAGAATCCCAAAATTTTCCTTCACATCAGTTCGGATTCCATTCACAACACTCCACAGTCCAACAAGGACTCCGAGTGGTCGATCATATTTCCGCAGCATTGGAAAGCAAGCAATATTGCTCGGGTGCATTTCTGGACATAGCTCAAGCTTTTGACCGGGTATGGCACGCCGGGCTTCTTTCCAAGCTGAAAACCTATCTCCCTCAGTCCTTGTACCTTGTCCTCCGTTCCTACCTCTCAGATCGTACCTTCCGAGTTCGCTGCGGTAGTAAATTATCGAATTGCTATCCAATTGAGGCAGGTGTTCCTCAAGGTAGCGTATTGGGTCCCGTCCTTTACATCCTCTTTACCGCTGATATCCCTGTCCATCCCGATACCTTCCTGGCAACTTTTGCTGATGACACCGCCATTCTATCATCCGACTCAGATCCTGATATAGCATCCTTAAACCTTCAAAGACATCTCGCCCTGATTGAGCACTGGTGTACTAAATGGCGAATTAAAGTAAACAAATCCAAATGCCAACACATCACCTTCACGCTCCGACGCAGTTCCTGTCCACCAGTACTCTTTAATTCCATTCAGCTTCCTTTCTGGGACACAGTCCGGTACCTTGGCTTTCTCTTAGACAGACGACTAATGTGGAACCCTCATACTAGACTTAAAAGACAGGAACTAAACCGACGATATGGACAACTATACCGGCTACTAAACAGAAAATCAAAACTTTCCATTGAAAACAAGTTACTGATCTACAAGACAATACTGAAACCTATCTGGACTTACGGACTTGAACTGTGGGGAACAGCAAAACTTACTAACATCAAACGCATCCAATCCTTCCAATCAAAAG